CCTTGGATCCTACACCCTTAGTATTTCACTCACGTATTATGTGATTCCAATAATGGTTTGTCCCAACTAGCACTGTGAAAATAATGACTGTTCAGTGGAGAATGTCCATGCATGATTGATATTATGTCTGATGAAATCTTTGCCTTTTGGGTCATTACTGAATTACTGAACAGTTCCCATTATAATAGGACATTGGTAAATGACTGGCTCTCATTTTAGCTGTGAATTGTTTGGGTTTTTTTTTAAGAAAATGTTTATAAACCTAAGATATATATTTGTATAATGCAGGTACAACCAACGTTCCAGCTGGATCCTTCAGCTAATCAATCCTTATCATTCCATACTTCTAAGGGTAAGCTATTTAATGATAGTTTACCACTGGTAGCATTTTAAAATCAACAGAGGGAAGTCCTTATTTTGGTAATGGCTATTTGATTTTTTTTGGGTGGGGGTTAAAATTTCACCTTTCAAAAGGGCTAAAAAATTTTTTGATATGTCTTATCTAGTACCATCCCTCTTTGGTAATTTATGAACTTATGCTCTCATTTCTGTTAGGTGGCATTATAGTGAATTTGTTATCACCACCAAAGGCAATAGGCAATAGACGATAGGTCAACTAAACAGAAATAATCAATCTTTAAGTGCAGTTTCGGGGCTACAAACRACACTGGATATCTYAACACTAACCTCTGTGTGTAGAATAAAAAACAGAAATACAAGCACTTCCAACAGTTTTTGGGCTCCTAAAAGACATATTGCCTTTGGTGATGACAAGATTTTTTTGGAATAGGTGTATCACAATTTATAATAATTTATGTTAGTGAGGTCTGCTAATGTTCTAACAAGTCATGTGGAGAAAACCAAAAGAAATATTATAACTGCTTTAGCAATAATTTATAAATAATCATAGTAGAAATACATGTGAATAGATTGTCTGGAAATGATATACTTAAGGAATTATCTTTATGATTTCTTTTGGTTTCCTCCACATGATTTATTAGAATATATTAACAGGCCTCACTAACTGTGATATACAAATTCTAATCATTTTACATTTCTGATGTTTAGCTTTACAGGAATTTACCAAGAATGAATGTATCCAAGTGTTGGAAAAAATTGGCTTGGAAAATCATATTGAATCATTTGTGCAAAACCAAATAGATGGGCCAATGTTGGAGGCAATAATTYATCCAGTTCTAGGAAAGAGCATACTGGAAAACCTAGGAATAAGAGATATAGAGGAGCAATTTAAACTGGTGAATGAAATAAGAAAACTTAAGTCTGTATAGAGTAGGCCAATATCTGCTTTGTGTACTTTGATAAAAAAGTTTATTAAGTTGAGTTGAAAAGGTCACAAAGGATAATAATATATAGAGAACAAAAGTTCAAAATAAAATAAAAGCTGTTGAAGAATTACAGTATATATGCAGAGTTAAAAATAATGGCTGTTTTTTGGTCATGTCCAATTGACTGTCGAGAAAAAGATTTGTTCAAACATGTTTCCATGAAGGACCGGCATTGTCTGATGACCAGCCATTATTTTAAGCCCTGTATATTATTATATTTAAATACCTAGCCATAAGTTGTTAGTTGATTTAAAAAGAAAAGAGTCAAAATAGCTAACTTGACACGTTGGCAGTTAATGTAATCATGAAAAGCACCATTTCTCCTGTTGTCTTTCTACTTGCTGTTTTATAAGTCTTGGTTCAAAAGTAACCACATGATACAAAGAAGTTTGTGCAGCTGGTTGTTGAAACCTAATGGAGTAACATCAGGGTTAAAGCCACAATGTTTGAAATAAAATTCTAAAAGTTACAGTTAAATTTTTATTTTTTTGTATGATTTTGAATTGACATGTGCTTACATGGATAAATTACCTTTGAAAGTGCTATATCAAAGCAACGCTTGGGATATTTCTTACAGACATCCTGATGACGTTGAAGCCACCTCTTACTTGCAGAAAAGCACTGCTCTATGGGATTAAGATCTGGAGAGTATGGTCTTTAAAAAATAAGTCAAAGGATTTTCGCTATTAATGATAATGTCAATTTGGTGAGAAATTTTGTTTACTTCAAAATCTTTGCATGAAAATGCTTATAAAATTGTGCATGCATGGAGAAGTAAATTTTTGTTCTGGTAAGTTTGTTATAAATTTATTTAACTTACAGTAAGAACACAGCCAGACCACCCTTGGCTCTGATCAACCTAAAAACATGATCAGAATAGTGGAGGTTGCAATTGTCCATTACTACTACTGAACAACTTTGATGAAGAGCATATGAGCCAACATGAGGAATGATGAAATTTTCCATTACAAACTCGAACTCTGCCCTGTCATAGGCCCCTACTATGGTATGTGATTCTTTGATTCCATCTTTAGCAATTGCTGCCAGGACACTGTATTTCGTTCCTCTAGTGAAATTTCCTTTTCTGGATACTCTAGTGCCTTGCAATGACTGACCATATTTTCGTTCCAAGATTTCTTAACAAGATCAGATTCTCCATCATGAATTATTAAGAGTATTCTTAAGTTCCAAGCAGTAAATTCCTAAGGGAGCATTCATTTCTTAGGAAGGGGAAGGGGCAGAGGAATTAAGGAGGGGGTCATTGAAAATTCACAAGTGAAAAATGGAGGGCACTTGCTTAGTTTTTTACATATATGACTACATGATTATGCAAGTAAGGTGGGGGCACAACTTAGGCAGGGGGCAGCAAATTGGGCCACATAAAATTTCAGCCTCTGCCCCCTCCCTCTCCTAAAAAATGAATGCTCCCTAAAAAAATATTTGGATAACGTACGTCCTAGCAATCCAGGTTACCTCAGATCTCATACCAGTAGTGTTTACTATAAAGTGTATCAGCAGTATAGTACTATTTTTGAGTATTCATCATTTGTTGGTTAATAAATACAAGTAACCTGTAAACAAATGGTGAAACAAAAGGGGAGGAGTGGAGAGCGGTTCTTACACCGTCCAAGAAAGCAAGATAAATATTTTAGCTTTATTGTAYTTCAAAATAAAATTTTACCTGAAAGGTTCTGTCACACTTAGAGGATTCGTCAATAAATAACAGTTGATGACTGTCAAATTGTGAAATGAATCATCGATATTGTGCTCGCCGTAATTCATCYCGTTGCTTGGCAATCAATTGCAGCTGTAAATAAGGTACTGTTATTTATTCTGGTCACATTTATAAAAATTAGCAGAAAATACAGATAATACTTCACAAGTTGGATATAAACCTTTTTGACTGTCAAGCCAATTCCCCGTAAATATCTGCTCAAAGTTGGGATACTGTACTCTTGTCCAGTAAGATAAGCTATCCAGTCGCGGAGTTCATCGAGATACAACTCGGGATATTGTTCAATTAGATTTTTAATCATCAAAATATCTCGTCCTATATAAAATAACATTTAAAATATTACACGATATAGAGGAAATTTAGCGAAACCTCTACAAAACAAAATATTTTACCGATAATCGATCGCGGTCTACCAGGTCTTGCACGGCGAAAGGCTGGCCCATACCCAACACTTTTTGTTTCTCGATATATTTTTAACACTTTTTTTACGAACGTTAAGCTTACTTGAAGAATTTCTGCAATTTCCTGCAGGGACCGATTTTGAATAACACGTAAATTAACGACTCTCCAACGGAGAGATTTGGGAAATTCTCTTACCATCTTAGAACTGAGATATTTACACGGCACACGGCTGTTTGCATTTGCTTCCGGCCATCGATCGGATTCCATTCGGTAGTTATCGTAATTTTGATTGACGGCAGCCAAAACGCATGTTTTGGGCTGGCGCCAAATTTTTCGAGGTCGCGTAATTATGAAAGGCGCTGTAATATCAACATGGCTTCTTCACAAACGGCTTCAGCAGCAATTCCAAGCAACAACGCAGCGTCAAGAAATTTCGACAAGTTATGACCATCGAGTCAGATAGCAATCAAGAGAACGAGTAAGTTTCAGTCTTTCACAGACTATATTTTAGACTTTATAAAACTTGAGATTTAATATTCTTTACCATTATATACCGTGGTACTTTTTGTTACACGGTTTTCTGTTTGAAAAGTAAGAACTTATATGGTGTAATACTGAAACTTTTTCTCGTTCAATCTGTTTATTTAATCTAGTTTATAAATAAAAACTTTTTATAATAATAAAAAGCTTGTTAAGTTGATTTTATGGATAATTATATAATAAACAGAATATTACATAGGCCCTTGGAGATACGAAATTTATCTTCCCGTGTTGAAATCTCTCACCCGTTGCATTTAGGTTATGCCAGTGAAGTCTGGACACCCCAAACAACTATTAATGATATGAGATTAATTGAAGGTGTACAGCGGCGTGCCACTCGTTTTATCTTGAACTGTAGTTATAAAGTTTCTGAACGCCCAAATACGGTTAGCTCCAAAGGGACATCCGACATACAACGTATTTGGTGTATACGAAGTGGTACAAACAAAGTCGGTCAACAGTACCTATAGTATATATGAACTTTTGATAATCTTTCCATGTTTTGGGTATAGGTTTGCTAGTTGTATGCGAAGTGGTACAAACAAAGTCGGTCAACAGTACTTTTGGCATTGCTTGTCCTGGTCTCCTTCTGTCTTGGCCACGCAGAATGTGAAGTCAACCAAAGAAATTGGTATGAACCCATTATTTTGAGGGTAGCAACTGCTCTTCCAACAGGTTAGTTATTAATACATTTCAAATACGTGCAGAAACCAATATTGGAAGCCGATTACTCATAAAGAGCTTTAGCATTTAACTGAACAGTAAATCTCAACTTTATTTCTAATTTACCAAAAAAGCCTTAAAACACAACCGCCACATCGGTATTTATAATATAATTATCTTAGCATGTTCCATTATTACGGTAACGTATTTCGTGTGGTAGAACTCAAATAATTCGAGATAAAACTATGTCTCTGAGATATCCGATAGATAGAAAATGTTCGATATAGAAATACCCGAGAACAACAAGGCAACAAGGGTCATCATGGCGGTAAAGTAAAACATGGTCTTGATATATTTTATTTGCATGCACTGATATTTAATTGATCAGGTCACAAATTACTTGGGAAGTATGGACGTTGAACCTGATATTATATATAAATTTATTAGAGATGGGAATGTTGCAAAGAAAGTATTCTATTCGATTCCCAGCAGCAACCGTGAAAATTTATCTCTCAGCAATAGCCTAGCTATTTGGGAGTATTCATACAAAGTTCCAAGTTCCAGGAAGTTAAAGTTGGATACAACATTGAGTTAGTGGATTAGGTATTCCATTCCTCTAGGACTTTGTGATAATGCATGTAGCCATGTAGCCATGTAGCCACATTAATTGTAGTCTTTCTTAATCCCCTTAAACTAATATAAATGTAGTTTTTAAACTGCCATACTGCCACTATTTTTTCGGTATTTCATGGTATTTTTATCGCTGATAATAGTCGGAATTGAAAGTATTGCCAAAATTGCGTGAAAAGCTCAACAAAGCTCATGCTTCACAAACGTCTAGAAACATATCTCAAGTTTTTGATGAGTGTAAAAAGTTTGGAAAAAGAAGTACGGGAACGGGAAAGTATATTTTCAGCCTTGTTTT